GATTAATGGGTGGTGGAGGATATAAGACAGTTCCAGAAAATTAGGTCTCTAGAACGTGACCAAATCTTCTAATGGCCATAAATAACATTTGTATGAGATGTTCACTTGCTCTTCGGAATTTACATGGCGTAAAGAAGAAAAAAAAGAACAAAATAAAATTAAGGCAGCTTCGCCTTATTGGTCCAAACCTGCCTTATTTTTATTTTGCTCTTTTTTACGCCATGTCAATTGAAGGAAATGCGGAGATGAGTGGCCTCTTTGTTTTACTCTATTTTTCTCTTTCTTAATTTTTCTCCAATTGCTGCTGTTCTGTTTTTCTTGTCTCTGTTTATTTCCCTTTTCCTCTTTCCCACTTTATATAATTTTTTCTTTCTGCCGTTTTCTTTATCTTTCTTCTTTTTTCTCTCTATTTTTTGTTTGATTTTCTCTCAATTCCCCTTTATCTCTCCCCATTTATCATTCTTCCTGTGCTAAGTGTCATTTCTCCCCTCCTCCACACACTCACATTTCATCCTCAACCTTACTCCCCTTTGCACAACCGTATGCTATACACTACACGCACAAGCGTATGCTACCCTCTGCTCGCGTGACCAGATAACTGAGTGGTTACGACACTCGATTTCAGATCGCGAACACATGGTTTAGAAACACCACCTCGCCAAAACAGAGTTTCCAAAAAATTAACTAGAGAAGACTATGGCGCTGTGATCGTTCAGCGACCATGAGAATGATGGGTAGTACACGGATTTGCCTAGTATTTGTACTTGCGGGCAGCGAATTGTACTTGTGGCTCCGTTTATTGCTGTGTTTCGATTTCGTTTCGGAGAAAAGAACAAACCCTTTCGAACTTCGTGACCATATTTGGAATAGTAAGCCTAAAACAATAAGGTAGTGAAGCGCAATCGTTGAACATTTGCTGATTTTCGTTTCGCAAGAAAACAGATCGAAGCCACACGAACATACACGGAGCCAGAAGTACGATATTTAGACAAATACATGTACTACTCATCAATCCCGTGCTCGCTGAAAGGCCGTGTTTGCAGAGCACCAGAGTTCCCTCTAGTGTATATTTAGAAAGCTCGATGCTCGCCAAGAAATTTCGTTCGCGAAGAATATATTTCTTTATCTCGCCTTGCACTGAACAGCTTGCCCACCAGAGTTCTTGCTTCCCACGTCAGACAAGTAGGTGCAGACGTTCTAAGAGCGAAGCAGAAGATGAAGAGGACGAAGATAGGATATGCCGGATCTTGATGAAGATAGTTCTCTGTTCGCTCTGCGCGGATTAACGATCGGCAGCCGCACAGTTAAGAAAGTGTAAAACCTCGCAGGCTCGCTCACGCATTCGCCCTAGAGGACAGGAAAGCGAAAGCAGTCTTTCGTTCCTCAGCCTATATGAGCTGATCCTGCCACGCCACCCTCTGAGAGCTTTCTGCACCTAACGTGGTTTTGCACTATAGCCTCCATGATCGGCGCACCTTGACTAAGTGACGGTGTCGTGTGATGACGTCACAGTAACGCCATGGTCATGCCGTAATGACGCTACAAATTTTGGCAATCTGCGACGTCGTTATGACGTAATATGACAATGAGGTCACGCGATAATTATTTTTTTGCATCACTCGGAACCGGAAATTGCCCAGCAAGTAGCTATTGCATTGGCACTTTTAGACCCAAATAGATCATGAATCCTCAGCGATTCTAGGCTAGCCGTGCGAGCACTTTCCAAAGGAGTAATCAGTGGTAAAACTTTTTATATTTATTTTTGAACTCTCGCACAAGTTACGTGGGACACCCTGTATATACACCTATGTGCGTGCGTTGGTATGTATATACATATACACTCACACGCCAACGCACGCACTAACATTCATATAGGATGGTTAGGATGAATGGTCATATAGGATGTATATAGGATGGAGAAAAACTTTCTGGCTGCACCCCTGCAAAGCTATCTATAGCGGCCTATGTTGGCAAACGAGTCAGTGCAGACCAATGAGAAGCTGCCTGCATTGGTTCTTCTACTCTCGTTTGGTATTCGTAAAGGTAGTGGTTTACTTAAGCTTGTTCGGTAGCCTATAATGTCATTACGGCCCCGTCAAATGGGCAGGAGCTAAACAGATGCAACCGATACGCTTTAATAATACAAAATGGAGTTGAACAATTTATTTATTCTTATTGGCAGGCTTCTCATTGCAGGCTATTTCGCTTTACCGAGGCTCACTATTGCCATTGACAATCAGTGATTTCACCCACAGTTTCTTAATCGTTTTCGTAAATTGTGACTTCGGACTATTGACGTTTTCGATAGATCTATGGTCTAAATAAAGCTGTTGCGAGAACTCGTTAACATCTATTACATTTCCCTTTATTTTCACCGTACTATAAGTCCATGCGGGATTTATCTAATGCTGGGCCCTGCTCTTTCCTTGCATAATGACAGCCATAGATGGGTCGGGGACGACACAGTGTTCACTTTCCCAGTACTCGCACAAATTTTTTTTGATCACGTGATTCACACGACGTTTATCAGCGTTGCAAACCGTGCCTCTCAACAGAAGCGCCTATATTTATCACGAAATGCTCGGCCTGTAAATTTGGCTGAATAAAAGTCTATTACTACTACTACTCACGATATTCACACGCGATTTTTCACGAAAGTTTGTGTGTGTGTGCGTGTGAAATTATCTTCCCTTGTATTACGTCATTCACGCGAAATGACGTGCGAACATACCCGATGAGCTGTTGACTATCGATACTGAGCTCACCCTTCAAGTATGGGGATACCCTATCACTGCTCCAGATATAGGCAGCCGTTTTCCGTTTCTTTGAGGGTCTGGTATCACTACCATTGTCTTTCTGACATCACTTCATGCGCTTTGATGCATTCTACTGCTGTACTACACAAATATAAAAAAACAAATAAAGAGAGAGAGAGGTTAAGAGAGTTCGAATACAAAATTTATTAGAACAGGGTACTTTAAATCAGCTTCGCACAAGCTTTTCGCGGAAAAAGATGCTTTTGTTTTAGCAAGTGCTTAAAAGCCATTCAAGGCGTACAGTACGCCCGGTGGGCGAAGGAGTAGGATACTATTCTAAGTGCTCTTCAGGTACTACCTAATTTGTCGGTTGTCTTCGCCGTCAGAAAATGACGAAGAAGATAACAACAGCCACGAAAGCTGTGCAGGTCATGTTGTGTCGGAAACATCATTGCTGACTAATCAGGAATTATTACATATAAGAATAGGACAGTTGTTTTAAACGATGAATCTTATTTCGACGAGCTTAGTGGGTGCCACCGAAACGCATAACTGTTATTCGTGTCTTTGTAGGCCTTTCATATGCGCAAACGTGAAAACATTTTGTTGATCAGCATGAGAAAGGATATGAGAGAGATTTTTTATTGCTTCTGGGCTTTGTCATCTGTCCATACGCCTTTCTCTGGATTTAGTGTATCTCTGGGCGTGCTTGTCCTAACTGCAGGTAGAAACTCGCAAGTAATTGAGACGATGATAAGTACTTGGTTCGCAAACACAGAGTCACCGTTGCATAAGTGCGCACTGCATAAGAAAAGTAAAAATAGAGAATGTGCATAGATGAAGGTAGCAGCGTTGACCAAAAGGGCAACCAGGTCGGCTTCGCTACCAAAGCAGAAAAAAAATAACGAGAAATGAAAAGCATTTAGCTGAATAACAGCTAGTTACTGAGCAGTAATTTACCGAACAATGATGTGCACGAAACAATATTTAAATTATGTCTACGCTTTTACGTGCTAAAGCTGCTGTACGATTATGAGGCACCTCTGATAATTGTGCAGAAAGGGCTCATTGTGACACAATGGAGTTTCTTAATGTGTAAATAAACTAAATACACGAGAGTTTTATGCATATCTACCCTAAACAAATGTGGCTGCTACCATCGAGAATAGATTTCACCATAACGTACATAGCGACAAAAAAAATGTATGGTCAAAGGTGACCATACGTACCAGTTAATCGTAAAAAAAGAAAAAAAATTGTGCCACTGGTTGGCGCTTTCAGAACAATACATGTAAAATTTTTTTTGTAGAAAGAGCAAGCAGCGAATAGTTTTATGTAACAAGGAAGACCAAGAAAATGTTGTAAAGAATAACAGGGCGAGTGGCGTTGCTGGCTCTCTAATTCAAAATCTAGGCTTCGCTCAAACTCACAAGTTACTTGATTATTGTAAAAATTTGTTGTCACCACAAATGGGAGAACCAAGCCAACAGAAAAAAAAAATTGACGAAAAACATGTACCCACAATCAAACTTGCAAGATGAAATCACCCGATATGATTACATAGAGTGAGAGTTAAAAAAAAATAGGTAGAGAGAATTTTAATAAATAGGGATATTTACAGCAAATATTGTGGAGGTTCCACCGTCGCCATATTGCGAATAGTTCTCCCTGAGAAACCAGACGACGCCACAAAATCAGGACTGCAAGGACAAAGTTTCGGAGAACAAACTCCCAAACTTGTGCCCACTCGTCACATTGGATGAGGAGAGGGGGGGGGGGGGAAGCTTTAGGCTGTGGTTCGAAGAAATTAAGCATTCAGCAGCTCCGTGTATGCAACATGTCATTGGCCTGGCTTCATACATCACCATTTTTTTTCTGGCGACGAAAAATAATTCGCAATGGACGCTGACCTTGGTTACCAGTGATGCACCAATATTCATTCATAAGTATACTAGAGGCGTTTTAACGAGGAAATCAGAAGGTTACGAAGAGCATTTGTACTCGAGCACAGTGTTCTTGTGTACCTTGCACAAGAGCTCTTCATCTCAATATTGTCCGGAGGGGCCACACAATACCGAAAACTCAACACACCTTCTGAAAAAGAATGATTTTCAGGCTGAAGGCTAACGTCCTAATGGCTGTGCTACGTTCTCAATAGTCGTTTACAACGGTCCGAGCACTGTGCGAGCCCCGAGGAAGACGGGCAAATGTTAGGGCACACAAACTGTTGCTGTGGCGGCTCACCTTTGTCGAGCTCTTCACGCGTGGTGATGAGATGCTCATCCAGGAAGCGTGCGTCCAGGTCCTGCATGATCTCCCAGAGCACCGAGCCGATGGAGCGCAGCGACTGGGCCGCCACGAAGGACCACTTGGTGCCGCGGAACTCGAGCACCAGTCGGTCGTGCGAGCGACCTCCGCCGGCGCGCCACTGCTGCAGCTCGCTGGTGTGCTGAGACTTGGCCAGCACCAGCGTCTTGCTGTCCAGCAGAACCACGTGCTCGATGCCGATGCCCAGGACGCGGTGCGCCTGCGTACCCCCCCTGGGAGCTATAGAACGGTCGCGCTGCACTCAGCGGCGGCGCGTGATAGGAGAGGCGACAATTAGACGCGGATGAAAGGCTCCTCGACACGTCATTAGCGAAGCCACCAAGGTCGTCGGTACGCGCCTCAGAACGGCCCGCACGTGACCTCCACCTCTTGACGTGCCCGGTCGTGCGCACTCCCGCTCTGCCGCACCTGAAGGGTCGCGATGGCGTGCTTTCCGCGAGCGAGGTGGACAGAAACAAACAAAAGGACCCTCTTCATCGATAGCTGCTTGGGGATAAGAGGTATATGCTCGGTATTTTAGCCCGTATGCCCGTGAAAGACTCTAGTAGGGACACGAAAATGATTCATTTGTACCGCGACGCAACTGTGCCTTGCTTTGGTCCCTAAGAAATCTCCTACCTCACCATGACGACGTCTTCCGAGGCGGTGTTACCAATTGATATCACGCCCAAATCAATAAAAAACGGTCAAGTTTTTCTTAAATAAGATGCTATCTTACTTGTATAGGCTCCCCGAGTTTATGCCCACAAAAACAGTGCCGCCGTGCAGTATTACCGGTGGGGAGTTGACGTACGACGCCTATACTATCTGTGCGGCCTGTGTGTTGCTTATAAGCTGTAGCCTTTCGCAATCGACATGAGTAAATACAGTGAGTATACCTGAGACCAAGACCGCAATTCAATTTACAGCACTCACTATCAAGCGTGAACGGGCATTGAAAAACTACGCCACCGAAAAAACTAAACAAAAAGAAAAACATTCAGCGGCATGCTTCCGCAAGAAGCAGTGCATTCAACAAACTCACGCGGGAGCCTTCAATGTTACATCCGTGTCATGAGCCACACCGCACGGACAATTACATGTTTTCCTCGATCGTCAGAAGTGCTGTAGTGCGCGAACATTTTAGCGAATCAGGTCGTGCGAATATACCGAGCGTTGAGGTTGGGGACCGTATTTTGCTGGAACTCATGGTAGATTACATCATCACACAAGTGCACTGCAAACTGCAAACGTGCCACTATGACACTTTGGGAATATGAACAGCGCCCACATCGGCCGACTCTGTGCTGCACTGCTCAGTTCGCGCTCATGATGCTCTCAATGGAGGCAGCCACAGAACGAAAGGACAGACTGGTGCTTACCCGCTTCTTTGTCTTGCCTCGGAGCAGCTCTTTCACTTGGAACACATGGCAGCCGAATGAGGGCAGCCGCTTGCATGTCTGAATGTACAGTCGCTTCAGGTGGATCTCGCTTTCGTATAGCGGTGAGTGAAACAGCTTGCGCTTCTGCTCCTGCGAGATTAACGAGGAAGTGCTTTGGAGCTACGAAAATCCACTGCGCTTAACTCGAAGAACACGAATCGGAGAGGGACAATTCGCGTGGTTGAGAAAAACATAAAAGCAATCAGGACGACGGTTCCGTGAAAAGGTACAAACTACTGTAAGCGAAAGTGAAAATGTACTTTTGAATATTTGCCGCATATTTCACGCGTTTATATTGCAAGAGGTCCCCACCAGCGCCACTACTCCCGCTAAAGCGCTTCAAGGTCATGCACATGAGCAGCCGCGTGAATTTAGTGCTACGCATCGGGCTTGAATACGCAGTCTGCAGCAGAGACGATGACAAAACGCCGCGTTTGCGCACTTCGAATGCTTGCATTCACGAAACGTGCTGCGCAATTACTGTTTGCCAAGGGAAAAGCTCCAACCAATTCAGATGCTGGACGCATTATAATCAAAGGCGAACGACCAATGATAAACAACCCTTGCAAATAAAATAGTGTCTGAATACGGGGCTTACTGAACAACGCCCGGCCGCTCACTTCATGCGTCCATATAGCGCGTAAACAATTCCGTCTATCGTACGAATCTAAATAACGCTCTAAATCATACTCTGATGCTTGTGATGGCGGATTACAAGAATCTGTTGATGTCAACGTCACGTTATATGAGGAATATTATATAACTGAAGGTAAATTAACGAAGCTTCCAATTTTTAAGTGCATTTTGCCTATTACCACCTATCTTCACTAACAATATATCCCGAGCTATTTAGCTATAGAGATGTGTTTTTTTCTGAATGCTGCCTGTAGTTATTTTAGTCCTTCGGTTACACAAAAAGCTGTTGCGAAAGTGCTGGGAAGGGATAACACAAGTATTTTTTCCCGCACCGTGCAACACTGCCAAAAAAGGTTATCGGTTTAAGGGGTTTTAGGCGCATACATACTTGTGCCATTACCTAGCACAGGCAGACTAACAGCGAAGGAGGACAGGCTGTTCCTCTACCGCTTGTCTCTATTATTTTTCTTTCCACGAATGACATTCATCCCGTCAGCGGGGGTGTGACGACGCTAGAATCTCTGCGTGGCGTGCCTAGGACCCATAGAGGGTGCCGACATTTGCGGGACTGGAAGTGCTCCTGCGATCAGGCAGTTTTACAGCTAGATGGGCGGCGCTGTGCTAAATTTCACCGAATCACGAACAACGCCAGTTGAAGACTGAGAGTCATTTTGGAAGAAAGAAAAGATGTCCCTGTTGTCGACAAATCCGTTTCCATTTTCGCCAGAATATGCAAATAATGTGCTGCGTGATCCATCGATTCGCGCCTCTGGCTGTTCGGTCGAGTTGAATATGTGGTTTTAAAACATATGGATAGACCATAGCAGTTCCTTTTTTCTTTTACAAGGGAGTCTCAAGCTACTTTCAGATTGACTAAACGTTATATGTCCAATCAAAAGTATCTGATTTTCAACAGTTAATAACAAAGTTGCAAACAATGAACAGCAGATCGATCGATTCCAACTGTTACATACTGCCTTTTAAAAACATTTGTGCTTGACTTTTTTTAACCTGCTTAATTTGTTTGCTTCTAAAGCCAAGAGGGACCATAAAAAGTGGTAGAATTGATAAAGATATTCAAGGAACGTTATTTCAGTGGTTTCTTGAAGATGTGAATTTATTGAGGGGTTGCAGGAATTCCCAGAAGTTTATAGGTACTGAAATAAGTCACTGTTAGATATACAGAACGACGTCAGTTAGCTAGAGAAGTCACCATCTGGTTCTCATGGGCGGTGGAATAAAATAATCTGCATTCACGTAATGCGATTCCTTACGTCCCACTTGGGAAGCATGACACAGTGGCTAATGAATGGTGATGCCGCCCAAGACAAAAACGTGACGAGTACAGTTACCTTTACGCACCCGAGCTATATATAGAGCAGAGCTCAAAAGTGAGCCACAACAGACAAGAAGGCGAAAACCAGAGCACTTGCTGACAGCTGGAAATTTATCGAGAAAACAAGATATAACGTAGAAAAACTGGAAAAAATTATTCATCGCTAAACTCCGGGAATTGCTTCGAATGACCTTTTAGATAGTCTGTTTCTACCTTGCGCAACAACACTGAAGACATGGCTCCCTAATTGTCACATGATTTTTTTTTCAATAAATAAAAGATTGTCAAACGTATTTTTACCCTTAACTTGAGCTAGCACCTCAGCGTCGGATATCAACGGAGTAAAAGTGCGCTGACGGCAATACAAAACAACATTATAACATGGTTGCCCCTTCGGGGATCGTCGATGTTCCATAACGTGAATGTTATGGCATCAGTCAGTTTGGGTGATAGATTTTGCAATTATTCGCAAACTCGCCTAGCGGTGCATTCAAGATGGTGATGGCGATGTCTCTGAATATGCTATGCAATGATGAATTGCCGATGCTTTGCTTGAAAACACAGGAATATAGGAGGCAGAAATTCAAGGATGATAGAAGAAATTCAAGCGATTCAGAGCATCACCCTGTAAATAATTCCATTTTTTTTTTTTGAGGAGAGGTTCGTGTAGAGTGCAATACATTGCCGGCAGGCGGACTCACTGCAGAACACACACACACACACACACACACACACACACACACACACACACACGCACGCACGCACGCACACACGCACGCACGCACGCACACACACACACACACACACACAGGCGCGCGCGCAATTTTTATTGTTTGATTAATTGATTGATTGATTGATTGATTGGTTGATTGATATGTGGAATTTACCATCCCAAAACCACCATAGCCCGCAGGTCACGGAATCGAATCCCGGCTGCAGCGGCTGCATTTCTGATGAAGTCGGAAATGTCGTAGGCCCGTGTGCTCAGATTTGGGTGCACGTTAAAGAACCCCAGGTGGTCGAAATTTCCGGAGCCCTCCACTATGGCGTCTCTCATAATCGTACAGTGGTTTTGAGACGTTAAACCCCACATATCAATCAATGAAACCACCATGTGATTATGAGAGACGTCGTCGTAGAGGGCTCCGGAAACTTCGACCACCTGGGGTTCTTTAACGTGCACCCAAATCTGAGCACACGGGCCTATACAGCGTTTTGGCCTTTACCCACTTTATTTTCCTCTCTACATTCGAGGGTTCATAATTCTAATATTTTTCTATTACGCAGCTGGTCAGGCAGTAAAGCCGTCGGCCACTCGCAACTGGCGCCGTAACCTAGGTGACGGTGACAATCGCCGCCATTAATGTTGTGCCGTCGTCCAGGCAGCGCAAGTCATAAAGAGCTGTTTGTATTCCCATTGCTTACTCACGGGTGCACCACGCATACCTGGGTGAGTCTTCTGTGTTTCTCTGACATGCTAATCAAACACTAAAAGGCTCACGCACTGCACTACAAGCAGTGCACACATGCAAAAGTCTCCGTGCAACCGTTTGAAATGCGGCAACGTGGACATACGAAGCTTGTAGTCACTAAGAGTCACTGGCAAAACTGCTGCACGCTGAAGTTGAACTAAATTCAGTTAAGTAAGTTTTTCGACTGACATCTAAACGCTCGGTCAGTGTTCTGTTTTTATTACATCGGGTTTTTTATACGGGGTTAATGGGACATGTCCTTTATTCCCTTTACTGTTGTTTGCGTAGTTGAAGAACGTCTAAAGCTGCTGCTATCAATATCAACGCTTTTGCCATGGATGAGGCTCGGGAATGTGGGCGCGAGGCCCTTCGACACCTTCCATATATATATATTTTTGTCGGGCCTGGCAGAAATATTTAGGTAGCATGCTTCAAGTGAAATTTCACTATAAATGTAAGCAGTATTATGGATCCTTCATCTAAGACAGATCTTGTTCAGTGATTAATGTCCTAGCAAGCTCCACAAAGAGGTAGCGCATCATTTTGGTCTGACTGCACAATCATGAGCTCTACGACGCCACAAGCTTGCTTTTAAGCAACATTTTTTCCTGGATTCTGAGATGAAAATGACCTATTCAATAAATAGAACAAGCAGCTTTATGTAGGTTATTACCTTATCCAATTTCATCCAGACCACTTGTGTAGCCAGTACAGTCTTTCGTTTTACACACATTACGTACACTAGAGATTATCGCTATATTGACCCTTGGCTCGGATACACGAAACTTCAAACAACTTTGTAATCTCATTATTCCTTAGTCTTTGGTTCGCGGAAGTTGAGCAATTGGAGTCGCAATAAGAGTTAAATAGGAGAATGAATGGATTCCTATGTATACTAAGTACCTCATTACTCAAATTTAAAAACACTTTACTGTCTTCTTTCTGAATGCAGACATTTTCGTGCAAAGGTGATGGTTACTATTGGTCACCCGGCTGAGCATTAATCTTTTACAACAGTTCCAGTGCAACATGTTTTCGCGAATACATGCCCTGATCTGTAGAAAAAGAAGGTCTCAATGCACCTTTTCCTTCTAATGCCAACAGATGCAGCTGCGTCTTTACTTCTGGCGAACGATGCCTCACAACAGTGGCAGATGTGCACAAAACGCACTAGCAACTTTCACGTCTTTGTCGTTTCATTAAAGCAATCTACAGGGTCTTTCTATAAAGTAATAAGACTGGGTGTAGTAAAAAAATACTGATCCTGTCAGTACGTATTCATGATTTTTTTTTTCGGTATAGCTTCCTTGGGCGTCGGTACACCAGTCCTATAGCACCAATACCAAGCTGAAAGGAATTCCTGAAAACCTGCTCCCATGACCTTTTTGCTGAGCCGCTATTACAAACCGTTAGATTGCGGGAACATTGTCGAAAATGTGACCTTTCAGGTTTTTCTTGACCTTCCGGAAAAGTATCAAGCCTGTCAGGCTCATACGAGGACTGTTTCAGAGCTGCATCAACTCCGTCGTGAGTTTGGCAGACTTCTTTCTTTACCCAAGGCTCAAGTGACGCCTGGAAAGTCACTGTTTCGACGGTCTTCCCCCAATCTAACGGGCTGTCACAGAGTCTCTGCAAGAAGTCGCGGGAGCCGACTTTCAGGAAAGCCCTTGCAGCTTGGCAATCACGTTGGGAGCTTTTACAGACGCCTACAGAAAATATTTTGATGAATTTTAATAATGTGAACCGATCGGATCAAGAATTCATTTTTTTGCATACCACACCTCCTTACTTTACAGACAGATGCGCTATGGCTACCGTCATCATTTGGTGGACCTTGATACCTTGATGGTCTTGCCGATGTTCTTGGCCGTGTGATAGCACGGCGGTAGGCACTCCTTGAGGCTGACCGCGTTGTGCAGCCCTGTTGGCGAGCGGTTTCCATTTGAGCCGATCCACTGGCGGAGGATGAGCGACCGTCGCTTGGGCACCACGCGCAAGAAGCTGCCCGCCGACGAGCGGTTGGTGGGCGTGGCCGGCTCGCCGGCCCCGTCCGAAGACTCGGCGGGGCTGTCGTCAGCCTCCGCTGACGACATCCTGCTGCTCTCCCCGGGGCCCGGTGGCTCGGGGATCAGGCCCTCCTGCACACACGCCGGGCTGCCCTGTGAATCCTCAATAATGACTCTGAGGCTTCCGAACGCGTTGCAAGAGAGTCTTATGCATCGGCTGAGAGAAAAGGACACCGACCCCAATATCCGCGGCCGTTGTAGTCACCAGCAGGAAGGCTGGTATAGCGGTGATTCTCAGAAGCTTGGTCTACAAGAAGTTGGCATATTTAACACCTAGCTCGTTAGTAAAATAGCTACTATGCTCTACGTATCCAACATGCCTTGAAGCCGAAAAATAGGTAGAAGGAAAACCTAATCCTTTAGGTTCTATTAAACTGGTCAAGAGAAGGGCGACTGTGTTATCTCAAGCTCCTGAGAATACATTTAGGGTTACAGATTGCCTGTCACCTCTCCACCAACTGTTGCTTTCAAATTCTGGTCGCAAAAATATTAGCGACAAGTTTGAAAGCACTCTTCTGAGGAAAAGCACAGTTTCCCGTAGCATACAAAAAAAAGGTCATATTATCACAGAGAATGACAACCCGCCCTGATTGCACAAAGCCTCTGATCCGACTGGTAGTTCTTCAACATGTTCGAAAAAAAAAGATTAGAGAGGAGAATGCAGCCGTGGGTGGACTAATGAGAAGTGGGCTAATGCAGCATACAAATGAAAATCAAGTTGGCTTTCTATTTTAGCGCACTTACTTCTGACACTACAGTAAGAATCCTCACCAATGCATTCACGAACAGTCATCGATGGCTCATATGCGGTACCTCTATATACCTGGCATTGCTTTAAAAATAATAATAAAATGCACGCAACAGTGCTAATTTAAGCTGTTTAGTTTACGATCTTATATGACTAAGAGCAGACAACCCGTAAGTGTGTCCCTGGCTATATGTTAATGAGATGTAGATATAGCGCACGGAAGCATGTTTTTGTACACAATGTCACTTGTCTTGTTTACGGCACCGACATGACCCGCGAAAAACCTATATTGCTATATTGCTGTGTAATAATCAAGCGGACTGCAATGTTAACTCGGTGACTGTGGCGCTGCGCTGCCGAATCTGAGGTTTCTGGTTCGATTCGTGGCCGCGACGATACCATTCGGATAGAATATAAATACAATATCGCTCCAGAGAACTTCTTGTTGGGTGAGTTGGTGTACGTTTATAAATTAATTTAGGCGCGAAAGTAGACACAAACACTAGGGAGGACGCTCCGTCTCGTGTCCTACCTTGTGTTTGTGTCTATTCTCGCACCTTCAGTGCAATTATAAACAATAGCGCTCGTATACTTCTACTTTGGCATCATAATCTATAAGTACGTAACAACTGAGGTGTCATATTCTATATATACATAACCAAGGCACTACCTGCAATCTGCTTCTCATTTGCTGACCTGTTTGCCCGTAGTAATACTAGATCTGCACGTAAAATTAACAATTTTTTGTCTAAGGAACGCACTAATTAAGGTAAACTGACTGTTGAATTTTCATCGATATCACAGAGGAATACACTACCAGCTTCTATAAGAAATGCAAGACACTTTAAATTGGGACAAGACTAAAATCACACATTGTACATGCTTGGTAATGCTGTTCCTTTCCATAGATTCTACTTGTTTCAATTTACACATCTTATGTATTACTGCTTCTTGTATTTTTTTCCCATTTCTACTGCATACCATTAGTGATCGCTTCATTTTGTTTTATTGTGTATATTTTGTTTTCATTTCGTATATTTCTATACTATTCTGCTGCAAGAGTGTTCAGTTCATACTTACGATCACTGCTTATGTCGCCACAAACACTATGTTTTAAGACAATCTGCCCTTAACAGGAGATCCCGATACAGTCTTCGGCTTTAGGATATTCATGCATTGCTACAATAAAAAACTCCGGAAAAAATTCTCAGGAGATAAAAAAATTATTGGAAACGTTACTCGAAGGACTAGCGTTGCTGTTTGGCGTGAAACGTCTTGAGTGAATCAAAGGATAATAACAGGTCAACATACAGAGAAGTTGGACAATCTGCTCCCATTTATTCTTGTCAAATGAAGAGAACATTTCTACAGAAAACTATAAAAGGTAATTTGAGTTCATGCCTATGGCAAGGATTATATCTGTTTATTATAAATAGTTAATATAATAAACTAATAGCTGGCTACTACAGACATAGATATAGAGAGCGGAAAAGAGAAACGCAGACCGGTTAACCAGCACATAATATGCTATTTGTTGGGCGTAAACCAGAACTTTATAATAACAATCGCTGTGGGTTAAAGCCCAATACCAAGATATGCTTATGAGAGACGCCGAAGTGCAGGGCTTTAATAATTCCGACCATGTGATGTTCTTTAACTTGCACCTAAATTTAAGCACACGGTCTTCAGTCACTCGCACCTCCATAAAAAAGAAAAACCTCAGAATTTCAGCTGTAGAACTTCACTTGGCATATATTCTACCGTGGGTGTAACACTGTTATTGCGTATGACACATTTGCTATTAGTCATGTCAACTGACGATATGAGAGAGTGTCCAAGTTAAATTTACTCATCGCGACAAATGCATCCCACATGCTAGTAAGCGGAATATGGAAATGGACTTGGTGAGTCACACAATATGAAAGTTCGTGGGAAGTTGACGGACGAACATAGGCCATGGGGGGTTGGACTACCCAGCAGATATGACTATTACACGCTGCAGACGTAGGGCTCTGGGCACTCATCCATCGGAAAAATTCTCATGTTATGGTTAGACAGTGGCCTTTAAAGAAGTGCTGCGGAACACTTCTTTTTACACGCGTGTACGTCCGCTATAAATGCTAGGGGTGGCTTTATATTCTGAATCAGAACGGCAAGCTGGGCGATCGAGTGGGTATTTATGCATAATTTTGCTGTGGGCAGTGCGACCCAGACAGACATGTACGTGCAACGTAATCAATTATTGTACGTATTAATCACATGTGGGAAGAAATAAAACCAGTTGTCAGTCAGCGCTTGTCTGTGTCCGTTCCTTTTAGTACTCTGCCCACAGCAAAGTTATGACTTTATACAAAGACTCACTTCCGTAGACACAGCTTCATCACAAATGTGAAAGGGCGTAGTTGGAGGCACACTGCTTCCGGCCTGATGAAGCTAGACCATACATCCCCATAGGTAAACACTTGTTCAAGACTGTGGCGCAACCTGCGGCACCACTGCCCAGCAGCTGCCGTGACGTGGGCAACACCGCAAAAAGCAGCTTTGCCGCTGCTCTTCATTTACAAGCGTCAAAGAATGAACGAGCCCCTTCGGACATTTATATCCTCGTGCGACGTCATCGGAGCTACCAGCAGGGCCCAGGAATGCCCGGCGTCGGCAAAGAGTAGGTTACCGTCTGCGCTGGGGAAACAAAAGGCTCACGCACAGGATCGTCGGCATGCCTTCGAGCATTGACGAAAATATCTTGGCAGTAGGTGTTCGCCCTATTCTCGTGCCTTGAAAAAAGTCGTGCAGGCAAATGCACAGTTAATAAAGGGTGTACCGGCCAAGTGACGCGTTGGACAGCCTACGCGTGGAATAAAAATCCACCAGGTGATAGCGATGAGAAAAACGCTGGCATGTCGTGTTGAATTGTGGAGAGTTGTGTCGTGTTTGTGGGTCCGCTAAGCGGGGGGGGGGGGGGCTTTCGTTATACCTATAGGCTTCTCCTCTCCCACTCCACCGTTTCAGTAAATGGCGAGCCCAAAGTCGCCACACAAATTGTATTCTAAGCTCACAACCAAAATACAATGGTTGCATAAAATAAGAAGGTGTATGCAGAGTAAACGTCTATGCAGTAGGTAGAATTTCTCAAAAAGAAGGGGGGGGGGGGGGGGGACTAGGAACTAGATAAGTGAAGACTGGGGAATCAGTGTAGCTGGTGGCGTTGCCTTTTTCCTTTCCCTCCTCTTCACCCTCATTTCTTTTTTTCCATGTCTCTTGCTATACAATACTACATATGGCTATACTGGCTGTCTCTCTTGTTTCATCTTTTTTGGCATATATTTTCTTCATTTCTTTCTCTCTATGGCTATTCCTTTATCTGTCAATCTTTCTTTCTGTCTTCCTTTCTTCTCTTTTTTACTATCTATCCCTTCTTATTTCGCTCTTATCTTTTTTTTGGATCTCTGCACTTGCTCTCTCGACTTTTATCCTTGCTCTTTTTCTTGTCTTATTTCTGTCTCTCTGTAATGATTGATTGATTTGTGGGGTTTAACGTCCCAAAACCACCATATGATTATGAAAGACGCCGTAGTGGAGGTCTCCGGAAATTTCGACCACCTGGGGTTCTTTAACGTGCCCCCAAATCTGAGCACACGGGCCTACAACATTCCCGCCTCCATCGGAAATGCCAAGTCAAGTCTCCTGACTTCCTCTCTCATTACGTAAATTTAGCAAGCATCAAGACACCAACTGTGCCTTTTACATTAACATATCAACAGAGACATCAAACGAATCATAATAGACGTATGCTACAGGAGCCTCTCTAAAACAAATCAGTTTACGACACGTTTGATCGCAAGGCTCTGAAGGCTTACGTTTAAGTATACAACTCTAGTTGATGTGACTGACAGCAGCACGTCGTGGGGATGTATCATATAGCTAACCTGAACGTGAACGTAAGTTTCGTGAGCCGCTGCTCTATTTAATTGTCGAACGAAAACAAGCATCGTAGCCCTGCAGCACATGATGGAAGATACACGGTAAAACAACGAACCCGTTTCCCTTAACGCGGGAGAAACCGTTCATGGTAGATTTTCTACGAAAGTTGTTTCTCTCTACGACCGACATGACCACTACAGCGATAATACGCGGCAGCAACGTAGATACGGCCTCGTCGCATCGTGAGCTGTGTGCGTGCTTGACACCACGCAAGACTTCTTATAATTATTATCAGATGATTCGGGCAATGAAAACTTGCCCGCCATTTAACAATTTATATTAGAAGTAAATCGGACACATTGA